AGTGTCGCCACTTGGTGGCTGGGGTGGGAACCTGCCGGCTTGGGGTGATCTGGGGTGATCCGCAAATGAAACACGGCATTGTATTTCTATATACGTCTCTCTTCTCTGCTTTAATGCAGTAGTTTAGACCTACTGAAAACTTATTTGTGTATCGGTTCGGAATGATCTACCTAAACACATCATAAATGGGCAAGTACTTGCGCAACCGCACGCCAGCTTTTCGTTCGTCCGACCTGTACCTTCTTCTCCCTTAATTTTTCCGGAATACTGATCAGTCCATATATAAAATTTGTAAAAGTTATAACAATAAATTTTGTGAAACTTACACCAAGTGGTTTCATTTAATTTTTTTATTAAGACAGTAAAGCCTATTTATCAAGTAAGAAATATAATTTTATTCGTGATTAATCAAAATAAGCTGTAAATCACGTAACATTTTTACTATCTTTTAATTTGAATGACTATGAAATTTTACGAGTAAATTTTCTAAAGCAACGCGGATTACGAGGCCCAAGGGGAGTATGGTGACCGTAAAGGTGTATAATAGATACGGTCCCAACTAATACACCATAACAAAAAAAATTAAACTTTAATAATTTACATGCACTTCAGCTAATTAAATACATAATTGGTTATCATTAAAAAAAAAAATATACGAAAAACAAACTTCAAAATAATGGCTAGAATCTTATTTTACAAAATTTACACAAAAATCTCAACATTTTAGAAAACGTTTCCTATAATACACTAATGCTACTTATATAAACTAAATTAATTTAGTACACTTATTCATGAAGAACTAAAAGTTTCCTCGGAAATTTCCTTTAAAGTTAGCTCTCGCTCGACCCCCTCTATTAAATCCTCTATTACTTCGTGGTGTTCCTCTACCCCCACGAAAATTGTGTCCGTTAGGAACCCAAGTTTTTATTCTACCCCTATAATCACCGTTTCCACCGCCTTTAAAGTCACACTGATTATTTTCATTTGATCTGTAATTGTTTGAGAGCCAATTACCACGAGCACCTCTATTTCCAAAATTATTCTTCAACCTACCCCCTCTTCCTCTAAAATTAGTTGAAATTTCCGCAGAAAAATCTTGTCCGGTCCAACCATTTGCAGGAATCGGTAAGAGGTTCATCGATTCCTGCATACTAGGGAAATTGGCAGGAGATACCATTGAGGCATTCCACCTACCTTGTTCGAAAGGTGCAACGCCAAACGGAGTAGAAGAATTTAAATTATTCATTGATATTTCACTATTTTCCTCTAAAGTCTTCTCAGATTCAAACTCACCACAATTTATCTCGTCGTTTAAACTGTCTAAAAAATTGTTTGCATCAATATCATCCGTTAAATCTGGAAAAGGTGGTGGAGGCTGCAATGAATCATCTCCTAAATTGTTGTCCTTTAAACTATTAACGCTTTGATTAGAAGAGTCGTTTCCTTTCTGCACCGCTTCAGAATTTGCGACAAGGTTTTCATCATCGCTCAAATCCATATCGATACTTTCAATGTTATCTTGGCATTTCTTAGGTGATTTTTTATTAAGATTATTTACAGTTGAAGTAGAAATATTTTTGGCCGGTGGTGGTGGAGGTGGAGGTAAATTCAAATTTTCAAAATTAAAAGGCGTACGATAATCTTGATCTCCCGTAGCAGCTAGTGAAGAAAAAGGATCAGCGATCTTGTTTCGATAATCCTGACAAGCACAAAATAAATCACATTTTAAATTGTTACAAGATACAAATAATTTAGAACATAATTATGATACTAGTAAAAAAATTTCTTTGTAGGCACAGTATTACATTTTAAACTTATTTCTTTGTGCCTACTTAAGTCGATTACAATCAGAGAACTCTCTTATTTTTCATCATATAAACAAAATACACTGCATGGTTTATAACTTAAAATATAACCGTAAGGAATCAAAGACTATCAATTAAGTGTAAATTCGAAAAAACCACTGTAAATACCTTTCTTTTGGACACTACAAGAAATTATTATTAAAACAGTGGTTTACATTTACGCATTATACAACCACATTTCAAATACCTACCTAGTAATATGATTTTTTCCCCATGACAGTTTGATATTGAGCGTTTATGTTTACAGGATGACCTTAGTTATCATCTTATAGCCTATTATTATTATTTTTCTCTAAACGTTTTAACTAATTTTCCATCATCATTTGCAAGATTATTTCTATTTCTACCTTTTACATTTTCGTGTATTTCATTTTCACTAATAATTAGTTCTTCTAAATATAATACATATTTTATTTTTATATTGATTGTCTTTCTTAAGAGTCCTGTGGCAATGTTTTCTATTTTCTCATAGCTAAACAGAGATTCTATGAAGTGGCTTTGAAGGAATTTAAGTTTATTTACATGACAATTTGTTTTAGAATTTGTTATTTACATTACAAGGTAATTTTCAACTTTAAGTTAGACTGCTAAATACGTCAAGTACTGAATCACTTCTGATTTCTCCCGGTGCCACTCACACTACTGTTTTAAAATAAAAAACGAAGGTTCTCTAATTTTTAATTTTTGATCGGCTGCATGCGGGATGTAAAGCTTAAATAGTTTAATGTTACTATTTTAGGCAGAACTTTTTAGAACGTCAATTATGAAAATGTTCAATATTATTATTATTGCATAAGTAAACAATTAGATGTCTACGAATTGATGCAGAGTATTTTGTACTTTACGATCCTTTTTAATCTTACAAAAACTTAAAAATAAAAATACTAACCTGATCTTGTTTTGACCACAAAGTGGTATCCAAAGTTTGTGAATTTGAAGAATCACCTGGAGATCCTGTTAAACTTATAAGATTACGGTGATCAACGTCTTTACCTCTGTGGCCTAACTTCATATCTGCAATATTACAAAAATATTACTTTCATATCTTGGAAAAAAATTACATCTTTCTTCCGTACTGAATAAACAAAACTAAAGGTTTACATGTAAATTATCCTCAAATATCAGCAGCTACATTTCTAGAGTAAATAGACATTATTATCCGTTTAAAAATATTAATTTCATTAAAAATTACCTACATTTACCTTTCGTAGAAAATGATTCGGCAGACAGTACAGGCAAAATTCTGTGATCAACATCTTCCCGCCTTACAGATTGTCCATCGTGATATTCTACAGGGTCATTGTAACCTTCCTTTTCATACAAAGGAGGACTTTCAGGCGTGTCTAACTCGTTGGGTGGAACTTGTTCCCAATTCAATTCAGAATCCCATGTTTCTGGTTCCTCCTCCGGATTATATTCATCGTTTTGAGAGTACGACGGAACATGAGTAACCGGGATATTTGTAGGTGGAATGGAACAATCATATGTACTTATATTTGAAGGATTGACAAAAACAGAATTTTCTTGTATTTCAAAAGGTGATTTTGAATTTTGGAAATCTTTACTGTTACTATTAATAAATGACTGATGATTGTAGGTGGTTGTTACAGGGAGATTATAGTTTGCTGTATTATGAATGTCGTACGTTGAATTGTAGTTGGAATTTACAGTTGAATGATGATAAGTGTTTGCTGATTGAGAAAACTGCTGCTTTTCAAAATGAGGCAACACTTGCTCATAAGTAGGAGTTGGAGTGGAGTGAGATGAAGCTGTTGATAGTTGATACCCCATATCACTATTCGCTAAAAAAAATTAAAAAAGTTACACAAGACAAATATTAACATTGTTATCAACATAATTTTCAGTAATAAATATACACCGTAAACCCCATTATCTGTTAACATCAAGGTTTGCGTGTGTTTTTATACAGCCACAAACAGAAATTACAACGACCATCAAAAACATTTCGAAATAGATCAGAGTAAGTCGTGTTATTATTAGGTACATTTAGATCGTAAATATCCTAAATATTTCAGTATCAATTTATAAAAATTTTGAAAATAGCGTACTTCAAATGTCAACGAGTGCAAATATAAATAATTTATCACCATCGTCATCAAAGGGTCGTCAGTTCTAAGACTGATTGGACACGCATCTCCGCGCTTTCCTATGCCGAGCTAATCTTCACATTTCCCTAAAACTAGAACATCCCACATACGTAACTACTTGTGAATAGTAATCTACTCTCGATCGATCTATACCCCCTAAATTTCCGTTTCTGCTTCTAAGATGTCTCTAACGAGCCCTTCATGTATGAGAAGGTGTCCTACTAGCCTATATCATCTATTTCTTCCTGAATCCATAACGGCCTCTATTTTCCTACTCTTTCTAATACCTCCTCATTTCTAACCTTCTCAGTCCATAGTATCTCCATCATTCGCCTATAACATCACATTTTGAACTCTATTAACCGTCCATGTTTCGCACCCGTACGAAGCCGTGCTCAAGACATAAACTTTTAACAATCTTTGAATTTCTAAATTAACCCATCGCGAGCATAGAAGTGACTTCCTTATATTTATATCTCTCCTGCTCTTTTGATTCTGAATTATCTGACCTCTTAGATACCGAAAATCAGGGACTAGTGATTTTTTTAAAGCTTGTGGCGACAACATAGTCGAACAATAAAGTTTAGCAACGCTTGTTATGTTAATGAAATATTTTGTTTAACGTCAATATTTTAAATACATAGGAATAAAAGTCTGATTTCAACTAATTTTCACTATTCCTATATTGGTTGAATCTCAAGAAGAAGACGAGAGCTTATGAAAACCATCGAAGAAAATTCTTCTCTCCACATCAAAAGAGTACCGATTCCTGGATCATCACTTGCTGTGTTGTGTGATACATCAACAGGAAAAACCTCGGCCTTTCATCACACCTCCATTCTGTCGTTGTGTTTTCACTCAGCTTCATAGTTTAAACCATACAGGCGCTAACCCTTCACTCAAGTTAATCAATGACCACCTTATTTGGCTTTCCATGAATAGAGATTGTCGAAATTGGGGTAGTGCTTACAATGAATGTTAATTATCAAAGATTTATTGTCATGTTCGTGCTCCTCTTGAATCGCTCAAAACTCCGACACAGTGTTTCTCACCTTCATATCGATCTGATTGGCCTACTTCCAACTACACATTCTTTTCGGTATTGCTTAACTGTTATCGATCGTTTTACTCGATGGCCTGAGGTTTATCCTTTACAGAATATTAATGCAGATTCTATGGCTCATGCACTTCTGAATGGTTGGATTTCTCTTTGTGGTAAAGGAGCTCAATTCACTTCTCATTTTTTCAAAAATTTTGTAAAACTTTTTGGAGTTCAACATAACTTAACTACGAAGTGGTATCCCGCTTAGAATGATTTAGTCGAACGTTAACATCGTCAATTAAAAGCTGCAATCATGGCTTTCGATATTAATCGAGTTCATGCTTTACCGTTTGTGCTTCTCGGAATTCGTTCAGCTTTTAAGAAAGATATTAAGGCTACTTCAGCTAAATTGGTATATGGAGAAACTCTTCGTCTGTCTGATGAGCTTTTCTTTTCAGGCTGTCAGCCGTCATCTGGAATTGTATCCTACCACGAGCAAGATCGAACTAGGAAGAGAGAGACTTGCTAGAGTGACTAGCGAGAACGATCAAATATTGGCTCACCCTGTTTATTAGTCTATGATAGCCACTACGGGCACTAGAACTAAAAAGGTCAAATATTGGCAGACTCTGTCTCACAGACCAAGGTTATCACTCGTTTAACAGTAAGAAATGCTGTGGAAGTGTTCGTTTGGTTTGGCCTGATCCCTGCCATTGTTGGTCCATTCCCATGACGCTTATCACTATCGTAGACGAGCCCTCGATTAGAGGCACCTTAGCGAGCTACCCTGATGTGTCCAATGCTTCCGAAACCGACAAAGCGAAATTAATAAACACTGATGCTCAAATAAAATATTCAGTTTTACTTTCATGTGAATGAATTTGTTTAAATCTTGTATATATTATATTTAGTCACTTTTTATGATTTCTCTTATATTTTTCTTCAGAATAATTTTCACATATATATTTTTACCTCTAATTTTAGAGGTTTTTCATAATTACATCAAATTTGTAATTAGTCCTTTATTTGGTTCGGTAAACTGGTTTTATAGCTTGAGAAGTTTTAACAGTCGATTAGGACCGGCTCTTAACAGATTAGGTATATTTACCACAAAATCCAGCAAGGCAGATACAATCAAATTGATCTCAAAGTAGAACCGGCAAGAGTTTGGTAAAAAACTCTCTCGTTTGCATTCTAATTAATTCAGATGAGTGTGTATTTACCGTATAACTAACGACAGTATCTATTCTTTCAGTTGAAGGTATCTGATCTGGGTTTTACGCCGCTAACAGTTGTTTTGAGCATCTCACGGCTTTTACTAAGTAACTATAAGATTTAAAATTAGCAACAACGTAAAATCAAAGCTTCCATATTGTTAGGTGGAAACTTAATGGCTACATCTCGTGCATTAATGTTAGACCGCCTTTTTATTGTTTTTTGGTTTATATGGTGCACGCTTTGTTTGTACCTTTCCCATACTTGATACAACGATCTATTTACATTTTTATTATTTTAATCCATTCCTGCTTTCAAAACATGACTCTTGGTTTCAAGTTATCAGACAACAAATAACAAAAATCATTTGAACCACTGTTGTATATCTATACTACGCTAGGTTCAAATCACTGGAATGTAACAATTAGAATGAATCATCTGTAAATTGAAGCTTGCAGACAGGTCAGGAGACAGAGCTCTTTGATAAATTTGAAAGAACCAATCAAATCAAGAATAAAATCGGCATTGTGGCGTCCGAAACTGACCAATCGCGTCTAACGAATTTACATTGCCGCCGTGATATCTACTGTAAATTTGCAATGAATTGTCAAGGTATAATAATCTGACTGGGTTTATTGGGGTTTGAAATGTTGAATCATTTTAGGTTTCCACAAAAATAAAATAAATATAATTTTGAACCAATTTCTGTATCCTTTTGGCACATATTATATGTACGGAACTCATAAAGAATCTAAATTGATATTGATCGTAATTGATCACAACGTAAGTAGAAAGATCCTACCACTACCACAACACCTTTATAATTTTCCTAAATTATTCAAATTAAAAATTCTTTAGTTCTAAATCAACCTTCGTTTACTTCACTCTTCTTACTCTCTAACAGTGTCTAATAAATATTTGTTTTACCAAATTTTATTATTAATTTATCGAACACGCATAGAACCAAAGATTGTTTTTCTCCTTATTCCTTATGCCATTCCGAATTGACAGAATAATAAAATAAATGTTAAAAAGAAAACAAAATATGTTATCCAAAATAAAGCTGACAAATTGAGGATTGAAATTCGTTTTAGATCTTTAAAAACTGTGAAATTTTGGGTACCTACTTATGTTTCGTTTAAAAAAAATTGTTAATAATTATTACATAATTGATACAAAACAAAAACCGATGCACATAATTTATCACATGACATTAAGCCTGTATTGACTCTCGAAATACACAGATTATGTGAAAAACATTCAAGTTAGGTTAATTTAACTTTAATTTACAAATGAAATAAAACACTTACAGTAAGCCGAAGTACTGTTGTAGGCTGTACCATCAAACACGGATGAGTTACCATACGACTCGTTATGTTTACTAAAAGGTGGCATAGGAGGAGGCGGAAGGGAAGGAATTTGCGTGGTTGAAGTGTTATATTGATAATTTGTATTTGGAGGAGCAACAGGTTTTGGAGGAGGATTAGACATATCCGGGTAAACACTTTTGGTGGTAAAATCGTCGCCTATTGACTTCTGATTAGGTAAATTAGTCGATTGTGTAGTCGAGCTGTCTTGACTTTTATTAAACAGTGATGCAGTGTTGAAATCCTGAAACATATTAATTTATAAAATAAAAACTTTACTCAGCAATTCTTGTTGTTTTCAAGATATTACAAGACCCTATGATAATGAAAAGGGAGATTCTTGTATTGATATTATTTTTGTACCTATCAGACTAAGTATAGTGTTTTCTGATCATTGTCCTCTTATAATTACTATTAAAGATGAAATAAACGAAGAAAACATGAATTACTTCTATAAAATTACTATAAGAAACTGAATAATGTAGCTAGTAAAACAAAGTAGAATAAAATATTATCAGACGATTATTAACAAAGGAAATAAAAAACTAAGTACAAAAAACCGAGCAGAAAAAATTAATCTAAGAATGTACCCCGAAAACAATGGATAGTAAAAGCTTTTATGATATCATGTTCTACTAAATAACAGCTTAATAAAATTTGGAAATTAAATCCGAAAAATGAACAGTTAAAAGGAGAGTATAAAAAGTATGTAAAAAATTAGAAATGATAGCAGAAGCTAAAGCAAGTTACGAATGTAACCTAATAAAAAAAAGTTGCGACAAGAAGTTATGGAATATTATCAACCTAAAATTAGGTAAAAAGTAAAAAAGCAAGTAAAAGTGATTATATAATAAACGACAATAATGTCATTTAGTGAAGTTGGGATGAAGTTAAAGAAAAAGATTTATGTAACAGATAAAAATAAAATAAAAATGCCGACTATAAATAAAAATATCATCTTCATAAACCCTGAATCCAAAGATGAAGTTAAAAACATAATAGATGGCTTAAAAGAAGAAAGAAAGAAGGTGGGGTTGATGATATAAATTCGAGAGTTCTAAAAGTGACATTTGATTACATAGTTGAACCTTTAACTTATGTATTCAAGTTATGTTATCTACACAGTTGGAAGTGTGGCCTTTTGAAAAAAAAAACCTATATATAAATCCAACCATAAAATCAAAATAATAAGTTATAGATCAACCTTTAATGTGTAATATTGTAAAAATCTTAGAAAAAATTGAGAGAATTTATAAGTTCATTAATAAATATAATATATTATCTAACAAACAATTTGGTTTTGTGAAGAGTTTAGGAACTAAAAACGCTTTAGCTCATATAACGAATGAAATACATCGTATAGTGGTTAAATAAGACTAAAACAATTATAATTTCCTTCTTGGATTTAATTAAGGCTTTTGACACTGTCGATCACGAAATTTTATTAAATAAAATTAATTGCTATGGAATAAAAGGTAAGGAGTCGAATCTATTAACTTAGCTATCTCTACAAAAGACAAAGAGTAAAAATCGGTAATATTGTAAGTGATTACACAGAAATCAAGGTAGGTGTGCCGCAGGGTACAATTTTAGGCCCACTACTTTTTATTCTATATGTGAATAACCTACTTAAAGGAATCACGAATGATGACATAATATCATACGCTGATGATACTGCTGTAATAACCGAGGGAAAAACATGGAAGAAACTGAGAATAAAATGAGTGAGGTATTACATTAGATAAATCTATGGTTAGAAACTAATAAGCTCACACTAAATGTTGACAAATCTGTATACATTACCTTCGGTAATTATTACAATAATGTACCCATTAATATTAATATTAAAGTAAATAAAAAACCATTAAGAAGAGTTGAAAACTATAGATGCCGGGGAGTTTTAATTGACTTTAATTTAAAACGGAATGAGCGCATTGAATTCATGGTAAATAAAACTGAATATGGCCTACTTCCAACNGATCAATAAATAAATAAATAAATAAATAAATATCATTATTATAAAACTAAAACTATCATGACTTAAAGTGTTTTTGCTAATTGTAATCGTGTCTTAAAACTAATGTCATGCCAAAAATAAGCTTTATAATTTTTACAGAGCGTTCAGAAAAAAATCCCAGTTTTAAAATTCCGTACACGATTAATTTCGTTAATTCAAATTGCACCTATCATATTTTATTTTGTCATTTGATTCCTCTTTTAATCCTCTTTGAATGTTTTCTATGCTTTGTTTGAAATTTTTTGAATTATTTTAGATGCTTACCTAAAATATTATTTTTTAAAATTTAAAACATAAAACTAAATTTCTCTTAGGATTGCAGCAAAAATTGCAAAAACATTTATTTCCTTATTTTCATTTCAAAGAACACATTTAGAAGCAAAACTTGTGAAGAACCAAATTTTCGCATGACGTTAGTCATAAAACACGACTATAACTGGGAAAAAATTCAAATCATGTTTTGTGGAAGTTATGATTTTCTATAATTGAGTTGTGGGAAAGATTTTTTTCTATAAATGAACTTACACCATCCACAATAACTACCAAATTTTCAAATCTCTAACACGCTTAGTTTCCCTAAAGTATCTAGTGTACTACTCAATTTGAAGAACCCTGTATGTATTTATTAAGGGTAACAAGCTATAAATCAGATCACTCATCCTTTAAATTTCATATACTTGTTAGAAACAATTTAGAATATTATAAGAACAAGGCGACACACTGTCTGTAACTGGGTACTTAGGTACTATAAGTAAAACATTATCATGTTTAATAAAAAAAGTTTAAAGCCATGTACGTTGTAACAAAACTGTTAATTTAACAACTACTGTCTTTAGGACGCACAAATAAAACACTAATAAAAGTTTAAGATTGGTAAGACACATCCACAATACTCATATGGTTAAATATATAATATTATTTCAAATAGAAAATAATAAAAGATTGGTACCTCACGAGAGGTTTATGATAAAGGTCTTACATGAGAGTTATTTTCAAAAGTTACCGTGCAATAAAAAAAATCAGAATTATACAGATGTACGATTTGGTGTGAAACAACCAAATTTATGCTCTTCCTCATATTTCCCATATAACAAAAATATGTACAAGATTTCATCAAGAAAATTTTTTAATTTACTTAGAGGGATAAATTCGTTCTGTCAATATTTTTTATTCAATAAAACTTCATAGCTTCAATATTTGAAAATATAAACTAGCATATGTTTGGTAGATATTTTATAGAAGCCTGTAGATCGCTGATAAAATCTAACAAGTTCAAATCGCAATCCACGTCAGCTAATTTTGTCAAAATCAAACCAATAAAAGCTTTTTATTTTCTTTTAATTCCATTCGCGTGCCACAACACGTAATTACTTATCGATTCAGTTAAACAAGTAGATACCTACTCATAATTAAAATTTGCAAATGTTAACTGAAAATGAATACAATTACTACCAAGTCTCCACACATGACGACCTTACTGCCCTCTTCATAAAATTTAAAATAATAATGGTCACTAGTGTCTCTAAAATCGCTTATTCCCTCAGTTTTTAACTCAACAGAATATTTAATTTAATCAATTTATTATTTTTGTTTTTTCTATGAAAAGTAGATACCTTTTGTTATCTAACTTTCTTAACCGGTATACATATTTTATTTTTATATTGATTGTCTTTCTTAAGAGTCCTGTGGCAATGTTTTCTATTTTCTCATAGCTAAACAGAGATTCTATGAAGTGGCTTTGAAGGAATTTAAGTTTATTTACATGACAATTTGTTTTAGAATTTGTTATTTACATTACAAGGTAATTTTCAACTTTAAGTTAGACTGCTAAATACGTCAAGTACTGAATCACTTCTGATTTCTCCCGGTGCCACTCACACTACTGTTTTAAAATAAAAAACGAAGGTTCTCTAATTTTTAATTTTTGATCGGCTGCATGCGGGATGTAAAGCTTAAATAGTTTAATGTTACTATTTTAGGCAGAACTTTTTAGAACGTCAATTATGAAAATGTTCAATATTATTATTATTGCATAAGTAAACAATTAGATGTCTACGAATTGATGCAGAGTATTTTGTACTTTACGATCCTTTTTAATCTTACAAAAACTTAAAAATAAAAATACTAACCTGATCTTGTTTTGACCACAAAGTGGTATCCAAAGTTTGTGAATTTGAAGAATCACCTGGAGATCCTGTTAAACTTATAAGATTANGACAGAATATACAGACCACTTCGAATTATTTTATTAGTATTTCTGTGTTTTTTCAAGACTTTGTTTTCTAGAAAGACCACCTCTCACAAAGAAAAGTTCGTGCAGATTTAACAAACTAGATTTATTCACAACTTGTTTAAGTCAACACAAAAAATTTTTCATTACAAAATAAACTTTATTTGGGCAGAGAAAGTGTGCATTTTGCGAGTTCAGGCTAGTTAATAATCTTTATGTTTTAATTTTGCGAAACTTTCCCCGATCTGCCTGCACTCACAGGCACAATAATTAATATTATAAACACCCACCCGTTGTGCTTGATGGCGCAATTTAATATTCAAATTTTTTGCGACTTGCATTTACTCCCATTAATATCGGGTCTACGACGGTAGCGCCTCACGATAATTGTGCTCTTATATATATATATATACATGTATGAAGCACAGTTCGCAACTCGCTATTATACCAATTATACCAATTAAATGCAACTTTCATCAAAACGGACTAGAAAACTACAAATATGGGCAAAAAAAGCGAATAGGACTAAAAGCATCAAGACTAATAATGCATAAGAATCCAGATGTGAAACTCAAAACGGAAACTAAGTCTCTTTGCCTCCGCACAAAGCCTAACATTACGCACCCCTATGTAGTTTCTGATTCTATCTCTAATTTTCTTGGTCACAACAATATAGCAGAAGTGTAGTGAAGGATAAATTCCTAGTTAATTTTAGCATTACACATTTTAAGATTGTTTTGAATATCTCCTGAATATTACACTTAGTTTACTAACACTTGCGCGCTCTGATAAGGAAAGAAAACGTAGGCATTTATTCACTATTACGATCATTACTTACACATAATCGCCGCAACTGTTTATTTTTTTCTTCAAAAACAACTCTATGTGACAGCATTTTCCTACCTTTTCATAATATGACATTCAAATCGTAATTTTATTTACTTTACATATGTATGTATCTCCATTTCTACGTCTGGAACGCTGTTTGTATTGACTTCGAAACAATTAAATGTGAAAATTTCTTTCATTTTCTAGTGTTGATGACTTTTCAATAAATATGCATTTACTACGTCACAGCACATAAGTAGTTTTTAATTTTTAAATATATTAATTTAAGTATTGACTCACCTGCAAATTGAATGGATTGCTTGCTCCCATAAAACTGGAAAAATTATTATTCTGTATATTAGTGCCATCTTCGTTATTGGTTAGAGGCGTGGGATTATAATATCCTGCATTAGTATAGATGGTTGTGTTGGTGAGTGCAACTTGTGGCTCTAAAGAAATAAATAATAATTTAAAGTATGACCTTAATTACAACCAATACATACATTTTTGGAGTAAAAACAAACATTTTGTATTTATATTATATTTCTTTTATATGCTCATGCATTATTTGTTATTTGTTAGATTAGAATAAGTGCGATTGATGATGTTCCTTTTATAGCCAGCTTAGAGTAATTCTTTGTTCTTTTAACATTGTAGGCTTGTACGTATGTAGTTAATTGAAGTCATTCGCAGTGTGTCAATGTCATGGGTCAGTAAATAATAATATTATTGCCTTGACCAATGGGTGAGTTTCTAGACGAACAGTTTCCTGGACGCTAGAATGGACGTACGGGTCCTGTACCTGAAAGGACGCGTAGTCCTGATCTAAATCCGCTTGACTTCTTTGTAAGAATTGTATGAAACTGCACGTGTATCAAACACCAGCACGACTCTATGTAATCGCTGCAAAGGAAGTACGCCAAATGCCGAACATTTTTGCGAGACTAAGAAATATTTTTTGTAGTCCACATACGTATCTGTGTATGTTTACTGGTGTTGTAATTAATTTTTTTATCACACTTCCGCGGAAGTAGAACGTAGAATTCCCCTATTGAATGTAACGTTAATTTGGCGTCCAGCCTATGATTAATCGTAGAATTTACATAAACGTAAAAATTTAAAAATAAAAAAAGACGTAATTAATTACTTAGCATGTATAAACCTTATATTAATCTCATTATGTTTATTTAATAAATTATTAAAAAGCAGTATTTCAGCTGAAAAGGTTTTTATTCTTACCAAAAATAACGGTTATAATGACAGTATCGAACTATCGGATTCTGTTAGTCTCTTCACTAACACGGTTTTTAAAAGTTTGTATGAATTTTCCGTTGGATTGATATTATCACGTCTTATTCTATTCGATATACCATTCCCCTAGGTTAGCGATAGTAAAATTGGACATTACCGCATCCTTGATGATGCGGGTCGTAGCAAACGGCGCCTCCAACGATCTGAACCATAAGTCAAGCTTTTGAGGCCAAAATTGCGAAATTTTTATGTTTTGATGGTTTACTGCGTTGATACTATGGTTTTAGATGTCGAAGGTGCGGAAAAAAGTATAGTGATTATGAGTTTTTGAGTAGCAAAAATGGGTGGAAATAGAGTAGTGTTAGTAGGTACTTTGAACATATGCATACTGGGCTTGTTTAGCGGATACAACGCGCATCGGTTGCCACGTTGTTTCTGTTCAATTCGCCGACGTATGGCTTTTTCCATAATTTTTAAACTTTGCGTTATTATAACTCAACAAAGTGAAGGTCAATATATTTGTTTTTTTTATAATTCAGAACAAAAACATTTATAAATTGTTAGTTCTGTTAGTTTTTTTATTAGTGAATAAACTGGTACAACCACTACATAGAGCCTATACTCTCCATGTTAGCGACCCGAAGTTTCATTAAGTTTATGACAAATTAGAGGTCAATTGACTTCAAATTTTAAATTTTATTTAGTCTGAGTAGTCCAGTAACTTTGGATTTAAAAAAGGCTTCTGATGTAAAAAATTAATGACGAATTTTTTTTAATCGATTTATTTTAATGTTAGTGTTAGAAAAAAATATGAAAAATGGAACTCGAAATCATTGTCGCTTAAAAAATTATTTAACGTTAAAGTTAATAAAAAACGGTTTTATGCTAATATTAATCCCTGTAAGGAGTAGATATTTCCGAGTATGTCAGGTATTTCCTACCTACGTATGACTCAAGCATCAACATATAAGATATTTAATGTATAACGTGTACAGTTTTTACTCAATGCACTAGTGATTGATTATTATTTCTTAACAATATTCTGCGAAACATTATGCAAAAACCGCCTATGACACGCTGATTAGTACTAATAAATTCGAAGTCACGATCCACGTCTAGTAGTCATAACTACACACCATCAGCAATTCTTATTGTTACTTACCTAAGTGTAGGGTAGCTTCTGCAGATGGCAGTTCAATATCAGAATCAGGACTTGGTGAAGGAGCATTTACATCTGGCGAAGGTATAGGACTGGGCAATGTCGGTAAAACTTCATCTATTTTTTTTTTTACGCTTTTGACACGAGTTCCAAAGGTTTTATAAGCCTAAGCAAATAACAAAAATTTGTAGTATATAAAGATTTTAGTGTGTATCCAAAGCCAGTATAGGGTAAAAACGTTTTTTATAGTATGCACGACAGCCAGCAACTCGCCATAATAACAGGGCTATGATGGATAAATCATTTGTACTAAAATAGAATTACTCTAAATTAAGTAGTACTTATACTAGATTTTAGTGATGGTGTGGTTTGCAGATTATCAAATACAAGTCCTCAGATCACACACTACACTAACTAACATACTGATTAACTTACGATTAATGTATTAACAACTAAAACCTAGAAAACATTAATTGTACTTAAGTACAAATCATTATTACATTATAGTCTTAATAAATCCTTATAATTAAGGTGAAACGTCGGTGGTCGTTTATATAATAAAAAAAACTTTTTACCATATACTTACTGACTTTAGTTATACACTCCAATTGAAAAAAAAGGGTATAAATGAAAATTATAATGATTTTAATAGGAAACTACTTACATTAGCGACAACTTTAACATCCTTTCTTTCAGTTTCAAGCTGAGTTTGTGCCTGTTGTAAAACTGATATTAAATGTGATCTGGCTTTTATTTCTGTCTTTAAAGCAGCAACATAACTTTCTATATGTTTTGTGTAATCATCCAACTCTTTTTCAACATCATCAACATGAGCTCGGTCTAAAATAGTTTAGTATTTATTGTACTCATGTAGAGAATTTTAAGTCTCAATTTTTCATTACTGTAGTTTAATGACATCACAATAAAGGAATACTGGATCAAGAGTTAAAATAATAAAAATCAATTGAAACTTTTTAATAATCTTACTACCCACCTTTTAATGATGTTACCAATGACTCTGCATCAATCTGTATCTTTGGATTATGTTCCTTAAGCTGCTTAAGTTTTAAATCTGTTTCAGTTTCAAGATTTGAGCAATTTTTAATCTTCTGCATTAAGTATGATAACTAAAAATATTTTACATATTCAAACACATAGTTTTAATATCTTATCTGATTTTACTTTTTCAAAAACTATACCTGAAATTCAGTTGGTTCGTCAGTTTTCTTTGGTGAAGCACTTATAAGTCCACACAAATCAGAAATAAACTCTTCTCCATATACTCCTCTCTGTTCCCATATTTTAAAGATTCTTAATATTTTATGTTTCACTTTTTCATCTCTGAAAAAAGCTAATTATTATATATAATCTAAATATATGTTATTATGATACTTTGAATGAATTATTCAATTTATTACCTAACCATAGTAGTTGCCTTTTGCAATGTTGTAACCCAGCTTTCCACAAAATCATAATTCTTCCTTTTTGAATACTGAATAACATCATTGGCCAAATAAAAAAGAGTTAATCGTTGTTCTACTTTGGCTCTTTTGAGGACATTGAACCAAGATAAAACAATTTTCTTATGAAACTGTCGATTTTCCAAACACCAGTGACAACAACTATTTATACTTTCTTGAGAGTCCTTTAATGATGAAAGACGTTTTTCAAATTGAGCAGTATTAAACTCTGAAGTCATGGTTAACTGCTTGAAATTGCACACTAAACTTAACCTCACTTCAGTTATTTAAAAAGGCACTATGTAAATTACATTTTGCTGAATGATTGCTCACGATACATAAGCGACAATGCCTGTTTAATTAAAAACCTCACTGTATCATTTTAACAAAATTAACTAACTAAGTTTCGATATAAATCGACTTCTAAAAATCATGATTACAACCAACTGCTTGTAGCTTTCCCGAAAAATTCACGTTAGAAAATGGTTGGATAGACGCTTTGAAATTCAAACCAACTATTTCGTAAGTATTACTACAGCAATTCCTTTTCAAAGGGGGTTGTTTTCACATACTTTACAAAAGGCCTTTAACAAAAAAGACATATAGTTATTTTGTAAAAACAAACATAAATCCACTACAAAGTATGTTCTTTACAGGAACAAAAGAACAAATTTCTATTTTTTTTAACGTTTAACGCGTTTAACCATCATTTATTAACCGTAGCTATGAAAAACACTCGGAAACCACTACAATCCACATAAAAATGACAACAAATGTCTCAAATGTCGGTCTCTCGCATCTCTATACATATTCCATAGATAAACACATATTTTTTCTATAACCTGAAATATCCAATGAGCTCTATACACTACTTCGTAGTAGTTGGAATGGGCCCGTAGATCGTAAGGCAGTAAAATGACGAATAATATAAACTGGTGGCCCTCTGGTGGCCCAAAAAGTTAGCCCCCCCCCAAGAATTTTATTTTTTTTATTTTAAGTGACTCTAATCATTTATTCGTAATTGGTCGTCAGAAATAATCGTTCGTTCGTCTTTCGTTTATATATAAAAAAAAACATTTTTACTCTCAACTTACCTCCCTCTTTTAAGAAAAAACAACTTTTTTGAATTAAGTTGATCAATTAATATTCAGTATCGTTTGTTTTACGATTATTTAAGTTTGTTCGATTGTAAATAATGTTTAATTACATATTTTTTAATATTTTTATTGATTCGGCATATCAATGAGTAATGCGTAAACGTCTATGGTAAACGCCATCAGACATATAACCTCAAACTTCATTCCTTTCAAACTATGGTATTAAAGAACAAAAAATTAATAAAAATGAAATAATTTAAACTAAAATTTGAATTTTCAGTTTAGAGTACTAGAGCGTAGTGTGATTGTCGGTGTTTTTGTAATAAATGCTTATTTAACGATAGGTGAAAACTACTCTTTTGATCAAAATCAAAATGGAAAACGAAACATTAATATACGGTTTAGAATTCCAGGTAAGCATGTTCCCACTGCACTGAGCAGTTGCAAATAAAAATAATTTATTTTTAGGCTAGATCACTAGCCCCTGTACTAGCAGATACGGAAAAAATTAAATTTTTAATAGGTACACAATCGTTAAAGCAAATTTGCAATCAAATTCATTTAGTTGAATTTAATGATGAAGAGTCTACTTTGAAAACAACAGTAAGTTGATAGTTGTAATTTCATTCAACTAACTTATCTAGCACATAAAATGTTAAACAAAGTACATTCATTTATGCATACCTACCTATCTCTATAGGTACTGTGATCAAAAATGAGTTTTGCAAATTTCACTTATCTGAAATATACTACTTATTTATCACATTTATTCATAACTTGAGGCATTACAGTTAGTAGAAAAAAATATACTTAAATGGAACTCATATTTTTCCAATAATGTGCATTTGATAAATAGTTAATGTACATTTAATTAGGTCAGTTGAGTATAAAATTCTACCAACTGTTACTGAACATGCTCTATTTTCATATTTTGAAGGTTTATCATCATTATGAAGGTGAAATATGGAAAATAAATTCTAGTCCTACTGATGAAACAAAAATCTCTATTTGTTGTAATTCAGTAAATGATGATAATGGTTGTATTATGAAAACTGCTATATATAAATTTCCTGAAAATACACAACGGGATAATATAGACAGTGTTAAATTGGTAAACAGTTTCAACTCTGAATTATATGGTAGTGATTTGAAAACCAATGAGTTTCATCCATTAGATCAAACGAAATGTGTAACTGTATCGGAAAGTCATATAGTATACTGGGATATTTTAGAGAGTAATGCCAGTTGTATTTCATCTGTTGCCTTGGAAGGAAAAAATAATCCAAAGTTTACAAATGGCAAGTGGAATCCTCATCAAAATTGTAATCAGGTTTTTTTTGCTGCAGCTTGTTTTGTTTCAAATCATATAAAGAATACTTTTAGTTTGCAACTACTGTAGACACACATATTAAGACATATGATCTTAGAAGCAGTCAAATATGTTGGCATATTGACAATGCTCATGGTCAATTAATTCGAGATATAGACTTTAATTTGAATAAACAGTATTATCTGGCAAGTTGTGGTGATGATGCATTTGTTAAAGTATGGGACTTTAGAAATCCTTCCCAACCTGTGTATTCACGAAGTGATCATTCGCATTGGTATAAACTTGCTACTATGTTTTTGATTTTCTTAATTTGGAATATTTTTATATAAAATTATATTCTTAGTTCAAAGATAATTTTTTAGAATACTCGTTAGTTGATACTATCAGCAAATCGAAAAGTACATATAAACATTTTTGTGAAAATCTCGTTAACAATCACTTATCGAAAAAATAATGATTATCAGACTATAACTCCAGAAATTGCTAACTAAAAATATAAAATTACCTACTTTTTGCCGTAAGACTAACGGTTTTCAGTAAAACTTTTTTAAAAAGTTGTAACGATTTGTTTTACATAATATTTATGTTACAGTTAAAACCCGTTTTTAGATAGAACGCGTTTTTCCTAGTTAGAGTCTCTGAATTTTTGTCTAGTAAGAATTATTTTTAACTGATATTAAATTTTGAGTATTAGTTAATTCTAGTTTTAACAAAGGCATTTAGTAAAAATTAGTTCTTACTAGTGAAAACGCATTCTATCTAAAAACTGGTTTTAACTGTAACATTTATACTATCTTCCACGCCACCTTTGAAATAGAAAAATATTTTTTTTTTCATTTTTTTAGTTGAATAATGATAAAAAAATAAAATGAATTATTTTCGTTCTTCTAAAAAAGATTAATTTTAGTTTTATTAAGAATTATTTGTTTAAGAAAATGTTTATTTCAATAACAAAAGTCAGAAAATAATTCAGACTCCAATTTAATTTCATCATTTGAATAACTTTTATTTTTTCTTGTTTTTACATAGTTTCAATGAAGGATTTATTGTTTTTCTAATTTTTTTTGTTTTTAACTAACTAAAATTTCTATACAGAATTGTAATGCTAAACTAATTATGATATCATAACGTGAGAAATAATTTTTACGAAATGTGGTATTCTTTTAGTCTTACACCGAATTATAATATCCAAGAAAAATATGTACGACATCCGTATTAGGATTTTATTATTATAGAAGTGTTAGCCGTAAAAATAGTTTATCAAATCGCATTATAAGCATCGTGACGGGTTTAATATTTCGGCATTCCTATTTATTTGTTAAGCGATTGTGGTTAACTACTGTAGGTACATAATTAAATATCGTTTTTTTCCCTCATATATTCCCAAAGTCAGGTTTAGTGTCATTCTCGGGTGATAATGTTGATATATTTCGACATACAGCTAATTATTTCTATTTTATTTACTACGTCTACATACAGTACTAAATACTGATCAGATTTAAAAAATAGGAAACTACCCAAGCAAAAATTACCTATAAAACTATTATAACACTTGCCTTGATTTTAATCAGTTTCATAAAATACAACAAAAATAAAATAATTTTAGTTAACCAATATTTGCACTTAATACCCTAATTTGCTAATGTTATAGTTATTTATTTCTTTCAAGATTTTATACGTATAAATAAGAATGAGAATAAATGAACCTGCTTTGGTGTTTATGTTTCTAATTTTTTTTATATTCTTCGCAAGAAACCGTTAATATTTTGTTACATCTTAACAACAATAGTTTCCGATAAATAGGTAATTTAAAAAAAATTTTAGGGTTTGGTGTGTGAGATTCAATCTGTTTCATGATCAACTTCTTTTAAGTGCCAGTTCTGATGCAAGAGTATTGTTGTTAAGCGCAGCAAGTGTTAGTTCAGAAAATTTATTAAATGATACTACTCTAGGAAACAGTTCGGAATGTACTGAAATAAAACAAATGTAAGTGAGATATCATTTTTCTGTTTTTAAATTTTTGATTATGTATTATGATATTGAAGGCTACCAGATGGTCCTTTACAATGGTGCGAACATGAGGATAGCGTTTATGCTGCTGAGTGGTCTCCCGCAAGTCCCTGGATTTTTGCGTCATTAAGTTACGACGGACGACTATTGATTTCTAGAGTTAAGAAAAATTTGAAATATCAAATAATGCTATAATTTAATTTCATATTCATTAATTTATTTATAGTTACTGTTTAACAAACTTTCTATAATAAATCTGTCATTAAATTAATTTTTATCAAGTAAAGTTGTTGCGTAGGGCCAATAAGTAAAGTTACCAATTCAGAGATCCAGAGATCTTTCGAATATGTCTGGAAAAATCCAATATATAAATGTACAAATGTTTTGGATAATTAATAATCAATAATAGATTAATTAATTAAAAATCGTAGTACGCTACTTTCCTATATGTTATAGTACTTAGTACAATGGTGTACGCCTATTGGAAACATATTTGTGAATTAGTTCAGTGTGATTTATCCAAATAGGCAATTACCTTCACTACTGCTCGCCAGCTTCGTTCGTATAAAGTATATCTTCATTCTACATTCACTGCTGTGAACGACGTTTGTTATATCAAAAAAGAAGTGAAAAGCAACGGTAAGTGCTGTACTATGAAGGTTACTGTGAAAAATGGTACCACATTCGATGTGTGAAAAGAAACGATGTGCAATATCAACAAATTAAAAAACTAAAACATTATATTCTAGGTATGTGTTAACTGCAAGAAACATAAAAAAAAAACTTACAAATCGTAGTAAAAAATATAATTCACTAAACATGATATCCCTGATCTAACAGATCTCTTAACGAAATTAAAAATATTAAAGAAATAAAACATTAATAGGCATAATAATAGTTGCAAGTTGCAAACACCACTATTAGTCTTGAAAAACTCCAATATTTAAAAAATGAGAATATGCCTGCAAGGTTTTCTTAAAGAATATTTTATATTTAAGTGAATGTAGAAAATTAAATAGTAAAAAAATATTTATTTGGAAAAAGTATTTTGAAAATACGTATTTTACATTTAGCGTTTAAAATACACATGGGAAATCTATTTTATATTTGAAATAGAAAGTCAAAGAGCTTGCGCCCGTGTTATGACTAAAGTAACCATATTTATTTTTTGACAAAGCGGGACGTTGTTGTTTTACAAGTTTTTTTATTAAAAAAGGGTAATGTACGTTACATTACTTCTAGTTGGGCTGTATTTTATATTTATCTGCTGAACAAATCTTTTTTAAAATCTCTAGTTCCGTTTTTAGATAGAAATAGACCTCAGTACACGATTTATTTATGCTACTTTTTGTAATCAAAATGGCTTTCAATATTGAGACGCTCTACTGCGCTTTTTCACTCGTCCATATTTTGTTCATTTGAGAAAAGACTCTTTCGACAGATGCGTTACTTCTAGGCAGACACAAGACGTACTCAATAATTATAGAAAAGTTCGTTAAGTGGATATTGTTTGCACAGAAGTGCTGGAATAATTCCACCCTACGGTTTTCAGCAGTCAAATTCTCAGCATTCCAGTTTTTTGGAAATGCTAGAAATAAGCGAAAACTAGTCAAAAAATTTGGTGTCCTGATCCTTACAAATAAAATCTCGCGTGATCAATAAATCCATAATAACCTGTACCTCTTCCCATGTACGTTTTTTTGATAAATTTACCCATTCAAATACTTCTAATTCTGTGTTAAATTGACCCCATTGCTCGCTACGCGTTTGACGTATGTACAAAATAATTGTAAATTAAATTATCGTTTGGTCTGTTTGCGAAAACGGGACTTTTATGCCCTCACTGGGGACAGCGGGACGGACAGCCTGAAAGCGGGACTGTCCCGCCCAAAACGGGACGTATGGTCACCTTAGTTATGACCGACGACGGATGGGGACGGTAGCAAAGCGCCATAAGCGACTCCTTAAAAAAATATAAACAATTTAGTCATATTTTCCCACCCTCACAATAACTTTTGTTTCAACATGAAATCAGCTTTTAATCAGATAATTAAAGATTACATCGGCGTAGTGTCGCATCAGTACCAAAGGCGCATGCCGGCACCTATTTTGATTCGTTTGAAGAGACGCTGATAATTATTGCGAACTCGGCTGTATTAAAATAATATATTCAAATTCAAATCGTAATGGACGCGCCCGACATTTTCAAATAAGTTTTGCGAAATAAGCCTTGACAATGATGTGCGAGTAAAGATGTAAAGTAAATATGAAATAAATTGGCTTTTCTTTTGATTAAAATGATATTAAAGGTAAGTATTGGTTATTAGCTGCAGTAGACTCTCGATAGAAGTTTTATATTCCCCCTAATCCTTTTCTGGGTGTTCAATTTCGTCTCCCACTCTACTACTTACACTTCCCGTGCTTCAAGTTGAAAGAAAATAATTGTCCATTTAAATTTCTTAAATCTAAAGTCTTAAGAGTAGTATTTAATTTCATTCTCATGTTTTCATTAAACCAGCATTTTTCGGAGAAGCACACAATACCGCATGTAAAAGCACAATTGTCATCATTAAAGGAAAAACCAAACGAATCCGTTACGGATTATAGCAGTAGGTTAGAAAGCATTATAGAGCCATTAATTAACGCATCGTGCTAAGGAAATAATTATGTAGCTTGATTTTGAGCATTATTGAACGAAAGAGCACTAAATACTTTTATTTTAGACCTTAGACAACCCTTGAAATTATTAGTAGAATCTCGAAATTACCAGCAATATGAATTGACAGTGGAGGGGTCTATTCAAAAGGAATACGAAATGTTATTTGAAAAAGAATCTTACAAATTTGTTAACCGTTTTAAATATACTTCGCATTTTCACAATCGTAATAATAATAATAACGCAGCAAACAAAAATAGTAATTTCCACTCATAATCAAATAATATCTTCGTCTGATGTTTTTTGCTGCTCGAATATTTTAATTGTATTCGGTTACGTATCTTATTCATATCTTGAGATACTGCTGGATCAATTTGATTATATAAAAAGTATTTTTTTAATAGTTCCGCTGCATCAAGTGCTTGTTCGATGCTTGGTGGAGGGACAGGATCGTCTTCTTCAACAATGTACACAGGTGCAGTTCTTATCTATTTCGGCAACTCAGAAAGTACTGTTCAATGATTTCTAATGCCGCATTGTTGTCGTTAAATAGAGTGAGCGTGACGCTATATAGAGTGTAATATTGTATAGAAATCAATGTAAACCAACGAAAGTCAAGCAATTTCGACGTTTTAAGGAGTTTGTCGTTAAATCGAGTGACGTTATAAAGAGTTCACACTATATTTTATTTAGATGGAAACATTTTAGCTTTTTTGAATGCAGCAGTGCATAAAATATAAGGTACCTTGGTCGAAAATGGCCAGCCGGAAAATATGGTCATACCCCTTTCCTTAAAAAAATATCGCTGAGTCGATGACAATAACTTTTCGTGTTAGATACACATTGTATGGAACGGCGTACTTGCAATTCGCCCTGCGCTTCCGCCGGTCCTCCATTATCAGTTCAAGTTCAAAGGAAAGTCGCGTCGCTGTTATACATTTTCAGTCGTAAAGTTTTATGAATTTCTCATATTATAATTAGATTGTGGTATAAAGTATTCACTTCAATTTAGCTATTAGCAACCGTAGATGAAATGCCCATGTATATTTTTTAAGTTATTTGTTTTAGTATCTTAGGTTATGGTAAATTTAACAATATAAAAGGTGACTGGAAGTATGGCCACCAAATGGCCATATTTTCCTTATGGGATTTTGATGTGTAACCGAATTTTTATTTCATTTAATTCATTTATTTTTTTTTTAATTTATTTTGGGTTTAGTTCATGGCGCCATGCTACAAATCCAAAGAAATGCGAAGTATTTGGAGCAATGATTTGAAGTGAAGCTAACATGAAATCAGCTGTCAATAGTGGCGAAATGAAGGTGTAATATTCGTGGGTTTAACAAATTCACTTTTAAGACACAACGACAAAAACTATTCTTTACACTAATTGTTATTCACTGTTCTATTTATTTCTTGATTCACTTCTGCAACGGCCAATTTATTTGTACTCTTTACTTCTACAACAATCAATTTATTTCCCCTCTTTCACTTCTACAACGGTCAATTTATTTCTACTCCACTCCGGCGACCTTTAGAAACTCCCTTGCTTCCTTTCAGGAACATTCTCGAGCCGTCCAGAAAAGTTTCGTTTTCTTCGAACTGTTTAATTGCTTTCCCGGAACGCAGGTACGACACACGCGTTTACAGATACGGCGCACATGAGGAAAGGCGCCCGCGGTTAGTCGGCGAATCGATAAGCCGCTCACACACACGTATGCCCGATCGCACACAATCACGCTCATGGTCGCTACACTGCCTCCTCCCTAAGGATGTTTCGTCTCGAAACATTACCACTTTCCGTTTCGCAGGATCATGCCGGAATCTGCAATTTTCGCCTTCACGACATCCACTCCGGGAATAGAAGTAACAGTCCACGGTCTTCTCATGATTGGTCCGATTCGGGTTATTACTGCAAACCAAAGTGTGTATTCCAGTACGGCGGAACAGGGCTTCGATCATGTTCCGTACGATCCTCTAATCTAGGTTGTCCAGTCCACAACCAAGCTTCGGAATCGCCAGCTTCTGTAGGTTAATCTCCAGAAGATGTCCGCGGAGTTCCATTACTGCGTCCCAAAGATCTCTATAAGTTGGATTATCAGAGTATTTTCCTTTAGTTACCAGGTAATAGATATTGCGTCGACCGTCAGGCAAGCACAACAGTGTTTTTCCCGTTTGTACTTGGTCTTCAAGATATTCCAAACCTCCAAATCTACGTTTGAACTCGGACGCGATACCACGGCTCATTCTAAGATCCTTTCAAACGCAATGGGCCAGAGAATATTCCTTGGATATAGCAAAGAGGTCTCGTCGGATTTCTTGCGTCACTCCAAATTTCCTGTTAACATGGGGGCCTTCCTTCATGAACTCTTCAAATGTGGGCTCGGAAGGAATAGTTCTTAATAATCTGGCCCGCGCCTCCTCTTCATTTGCACCGGCGAATGGAGCCAAGCGATTAAAATGGACCACCTGCGGCTTCCCATTTGGAGTCTTCTTAATTCGGTAGATCACGTCGTTAATCCTCTTCACTATCTCATAGGGTCCTTCCCATTTCCGTTGGAACTTAGGTAATAGTCCACGGCGACGATGAGGATTATACCACCAAACAAGATCTCCAGTTTGGTAACCACTTGCTGTAGCCTTGATGTCGTAGTTTTCTTTGATCCTGTCACTAGCAATCTGCGCATGAAGACGAACCGACTCGTGGATATCGTTAAGCTTTCTTCGGAGGTTGGTAACATAATCTTCTCCAGCCAAGTCATCTTCTGGTTTACAGCCGAATTTGAGGTCACAAAGTAGTAGTAACTCCCTTCCAAAAAGGACACTGGCAGGTGTTTGGCCAGTCGTTTCGTGGACAGATGAACGGTATGCCATTAATTATAAAGGCAAATAGCGGTCCCAGTCCCTTTGGTGGTCAGACACTACTTTGGAGAGATATTTAATCAAGGTCCGGTTCATTCGTTCAACCATGCCGTCCGATTGTGGATGGAGTGGAGTGGTTCGAGTTTTCTTTATTCTTAGGAGCTCGCATATTCCACGGAATATAGCCGATTCGAAATTCCTCCCTTGGTCTGAGTGCAACTCCAAGGGCATCCCAAAACGACAGATCAACTCTTTCACCAGTTCCTTAACTATGGTTTCCGACTCCTAGTTCGGAAAGGTATAAGCTTCAACCCACTTGGTAAAATAGTCGATAACGACCACGATGTACTTGTTATCTTTCTCTGACTCTTGGAATGGACCCGCCACATCGATTGCGATTCGTTCGAAGGGGCCACCGACATTGTATTGACGCATTAGCGCCCTTGGCCTTTTCTGTGGTCCATTACTCGCGGCACAGGTGGTACACTTCTTACACCAATTCTTGACATCTTCCTTACAGTTCACCCAATAAAATCGCTCTCGAACTTTCCCAAGCGTCTTATTCACTCCAAAATGGCCACCAGATGATCCATCATGAAGATACTGCAACACCTCTCTAACCTTGTTTCGAGGAATAACCAGTTGCTTCCTATCTTCCTCTCCACCTGGACTTTCAACAACACGCTTCAGAATGTCATCCTCCAAAACCATTGAGTCCCACTGAGCCCATAACGATTTTAGTACTTGGGTACAGGAAGAAACTTGCTGCCACGTTGGCCGTTTTCCGTATTTTTTCCATTTCATTATCTTCTTCCTATTTTTCTTCTAATTTATTTTCCAAACTTTTACTGTTCTCTTCGAATTTATTTTCCAATTTTTCTAAACTTTTCATCATTTGCGACAATTCGTCTTCGAAGAGGAACGTTTCAGGATCATGGCCATCCTTTTTCAACGCCTCCGCGAGCCGCCACTGAAGTTCCGTTTTGTTACCACTTGTCGCTTCATCCCGTTCTTCCAATTCTCTTCTTAACTCTGCTACTTTTAATTCGTACAACTTCTTTGCCATTGTAATGTCTTTTACTCAACCCCACACCTGACACCAGTTGTAATGTTCGTGGGTTTAACAAATTAACTTTTAAGACTCACAACGACAAAAACTATTTATTTACACTAATTGTTATTATTCACTGTTCTATTTATTTCTTGATTCACTTCTGCAACGGCCAATGCATTTCTACTCTTCATTTCTACAACTTTAAATACTTCCTTGCTTCCTTTCGGGAACATTCTCGAGCCGTTCAGGAAAGTTTCGTTTTCTTCGAACTGTTTAATTGCTTTCCCGGAACGCAGGTACGACACACACGTTTACAGATACGGCGCACATGAAGAAAGGCGCCCGCGGCTAGTCGGCGAATCGATAAGCCGCTCACACACGTATGCCCGATCGCGCACAATCACGCTTATGGTCGCTACAAAGGTATTACCGGCATCCAAATATTACAACATTCCTAGAAGAACTCACCTAATCTAATAAAAAATATGGAAAATTTAAATTGGGAAGAAAACCACTTCTTGGTGCTCAGGAAGAAAAGGAGCTGGCATCTCGTATCATACAATTAAGCGATGTTCGATACCCTTTGACTCCACGTGTACTTCTCATCCCATACAACACATGTTTATCCATAGGATGTTAAAAAAACATCCATGTTGGATTTTAAAACAAAAAAAAAACGTGTGCAATTCTAACGTGGTAGAAGTGAAACCTTCAAAAATTTTAGTTTCAAGATCGCGACAATATGCTGCATTCGTTTTCGGCATATTTGAAGAATTTTATTATAAAAATGATGAAAAAACTCTACAAGCATATAATACATACACGTATATAAAATACCACGGTTGTTGTGATGCCTTTCCTCAAGCTTTGTACTACGCATGCGCGCGCAAACACGTATTAATACACATACAACACTCAGGGCCAAGCAAACTGTCACTATGCCTTGGTAAACACGTGTGGAGGGGGTACGATGCAGAGCACAAAGAGAACCACGAACGTAAGAAACACTGTATAATGCTTCCTATCTCATTTTCTCCCACGTTAAATCTTATGAATTTATGCGTCTGTCTCTTTTTGCTGTCGCTTTTTCGTTTCATCGACTTTCAACTCACAACGATGCTAAAGAAATTTTCACTTCAACAAGAAAAAATACTTATTTGCACATAATACAAAATAAATACTACAATTACACTAAGGTCTGACGTTTATTCTTCGTAATATAATAAATATTAGCATGCCATGATTAAAATATCTAAATTTACTTTATGGAAACTCACTTACCTGATCTTCTTATTTGGTAACTTAATTTTTTTATATAGCATCCGTTGGTGGATTGAATAGCTTAGGGATGCTCGTATGAACAATTGCTACTGCAACAAGTAACTTAGTGGTACCAGTAAGGTTTTTGTTAAGTATCTGCTTACGGTACTTACAGACATAAATTATGAAGCTCAATTTTAATTTAACATTAGCCATAAGACACGGGTACAAATTTCAACACTAAAGTTAGTATCAACTTCCAGTATAACCGGAGGCGGCCGACAGTTCAAATTATTTTAGCTAAAAGATCATCCTAGATAACTCCTACTGCCAAATTTTCATGCCGGTTTGCACCGACGTAAATAAGTACTACTTAGCTTTAAGTAGTTCTTAAAAGACGGAATTGGTTTGCACCGCAAGTTAAGTCGCGCTTAAGAATCGAAACAGATGCGTAACTTTAAGCACAGGATGTTCCTGACTTAAGCATTGCTTAAGCCTGTCGTAACAATTTCGGCAGTAGTTCGGCATTTTTCGCCGTAAGAAAATAACATCGTTATGGTAAAGAGGTTATTATCATGTTACTATTAAATAATAAAATAAACAATATAATAATTATTAAATTAAATTATCATTAAATGGAAGTTGGTGTGTGTTATCATTTATGTTATTGTATTGCAATGTACGGATTATTTACATTCCAAGAGTAGTAATTAGTATCTGATGATATATTAGAAATTTGAAAATGTACACAATTTAACTGGAGTAGTCATAAGAACGCCAATAGCTAATCATTAGTAATAGAAGGTGAACTAATAATATACAATAATAGTACGTTTTATCAGAAGTTTGGTTTTTATTGAAAATAAACACTTAGATTACACTTAAGAGTTCATTTTGGCAGTTGGCGTTAAAAGTTAAACTCCTGTAGTACTGCTTTTAGTTGGAAAAGGTTGTTTATACGAAATTCAGAAGAAAATTGTCTTTACACTTTACCAATTACAACTAAAAATTGTTTCTAACACCATATCACTAATATATATACAAACTAAAACACAACAAAACCTAACAAAACACAAATAATTACGAAAACAAAAACGTATAACAGCAAGAAAGGCGGCAAACAACACTTCACGACACCAGACGTTACTTAACGGACACAATAAATTTGAAACTTCTTGACCATTCTGCACAAAAAACCCTACAAATTACTAAATTTTACCGTTGTTGCCAAACCATCAACAACTAAGCACTACTTACTTAAGTTGCAGGTAGACAGCGTACGGTGCAAACGAATTGGAAGTTAAGTAAGACTTATGCTTAAGCAGTACTTTGTTAAGTCTGCCTTAGTAAAACGTCGGTGCAAACGGGCAACAAAGTATTAATTTCTGAGAAAGTATTTTAAAGTTTGAAATTTGAAATATGGCAACAAGGTGCAACGAATCCATAGTGATTTTTATATTTATTGCTATCTATTATCTATGATTGCTATTATTATTATCAAAGTAGGCGTGCGTACTGAGGTCAGCGGAGTGAGCTCCACTACGAAAAAAAAGTGTCACTCATTTACTTCAAAATAGTCTTTAATTATTTAAAATGGCTTCGCTGTGTGGCAGACTTGTAAAGTTTGCTGGAAGACAAAATGCCCTGTGTGGTAGCAAACGACTTTTTGCCGTAAAAAGTAGGTTTTTTATTTATTCATTCATGTCGCCCAAAGCACATTACGTAATTAAGTTATAAGTTTAATATTAATCTTTTGTATACATTATTAAATCATTTGTCAATAATTATATATGTTTTAGTTACAATGGGAGATCCTATAGAGCACGCCACGGGACTTGAAAAGCGCGAGCTCTTAGCAAGAATTGCAGGAAATGAAGATCCTTATGCCTCAAGTATAAGGAAGAGAGGGCCAGGTACAAAAAATCAACCAAATGAAGTTCCATCTGCTTTCGACTCTCGTATTATAGGATGTGTTTGCGAAGAAGATTCTACTAGTATTAATTGGATGTGGGTTCATAAAGGCCATCCCAAGAGATGTGAATGTGGTCATTGGTTCAATCTTGTCCATAGAGCTCCAGTATAAAAATACTTTGTTTAAATTAGTGTTTTCAGAAATACCTATTATTCTGTAATTTATCGTATATATCTTCAAAAATAAATAAAAACAAAATTTTAGTAGTGTCTAGAAGGAGGTGGGAGTTTTATGTATGTCCATTATAATCAATACCAAATTTATTTGTAGCCTTTATCCTGTTGTTTTGTAAAGTATCATGAAAATCAGTTTCAAAGATTGGTCCACTTATGGACCAATCTGTCCTTAGACAGAAAAAACAAGTCAATGTCAGCTAATATGTGAATATTAATACACATCCATTGCCACTTCTCATCAAATTTTGATAAAGTAATTCATCTGCCCTATAGGTAAGATGCGACGCTAAAAACCGCAAGACTCCGTAGCTCCTGCGCAGGCGCGAAATAATTTTGAGTCATGTCTATGATTTTGCTCTTGCCGCCTTTTTATTCGAATTCAAACAAACGATCTCAAGCGTTCTGATCTGTGGAGTAGAAATAAACTGGGCAGCAATCTACTAATAATTGATAATGTAGGCAGAAAAATGATACTCATATACAATGTAAACGCATTCTTTATTAGTATGAATGGAAAATAAAATAAATAAAAAATTGTTTCAACAAATTTATAATGCAAAATAAATACGTAATAAACATGTTTAATTAATTATTAAATTTATTGTAATTATGGACAGGTCTCTATGAAACAAAGCTAAAACATCACAAAAAACGAAGAAATAATTCTCATTTTAAACTTTTTCGAAGGTTTTTTATAAATTCAAAGTACAACTGTTTCGATTAGATTAAGTCTTTCTGAAGAGTACATACAAAATGGTTTTGTACATTTGAATCCTAATGTACTCCTTTCTGCTTTCGTTAACTTTAGCATCTAGAAAAATAAAAAAACTTTTAATCAAGGTTTCTTACTTAATGTTTAGAAAAAACTCATGTTTGGGATTAGATTACATACGTACTTTATTTTTTCTTAGATGGGAAATATTCCTGTTTAGCCATTTTACGTTTTCTTAAATTCCTACTTTGTTTTTGAACTTTTTCTATATGCTTTCCAAATTCCTTGAGTGCTACTTGAAATGCTTCATCATCCAGTTGATTCATTGCACTGCGATACGTTTCCATTGCTATCTTCAATTGCGTTTCACGGTCTTGATGTACTTCTTTGTTATTTATATTTTTCTGATTTTGAAAACGATTAATATAATATAACAGATATAACGTAAAAACGTCTGCCTAATAATATAAACAAATACATTAAAATGTTCGACACTATTTAAACCAGCACCACTTATAAGCTAAACACAAAAAGAAGTAATTGTTTTAAGAAAGCAGAATAGATTGGCTTTTTAAACAATGATTATGAGTCTTTGTTTAATGCATAGATTAAACACTGTTGCATGTGCACAATTCTGCAGGTGAAGGAAATCCAAAAACGAATGAAATAAATCAGCATACACGATTAACCATGAATTCAATTGACGGTTAAAAATGTAGTTAGAGGTTAGAACGATTTAAAAATATGAAAAAGGGGGGCAAGGCGATTCTCATAGACATTCTTGACAAGAGTCAATTTTTCGCGCCTGCGCAAAAGGTACGGAGTCTTGCGGTTTTTAGTGTCGCCTATAGGTAAGGGCTACTACAATAATATTGTATTGCTTTTTAAAATAATCAACCTACGAATATAAAAGGCATTTGTAAAAGTAACATTGGTAGAAAAAAAAGTGGTTAAAAATAAACTAGGAAACCGTATAAAAGCATCGGTAATGATAAAAAAAAAGTTATTGGTAGATTACAATTTGCAGTTCATTCATACTATTTTTATTTGTTATCACTTAAAAGATTACGAAAAAAAAAGATAAAAGGCAAATGTATATTGCGTATCTCTCTAAATAAGACTAGGTCCATTTCTAAGTGCTCCAGTTTATTCATTATGTAATTTAATTTGTTTCAAGCGAAAAACAATAATTAATAAATAAATAATAAATGAACTCAATCAATGGTTGACAACCTTTTTTTTAACGATGCCGAAGGTATCAAATTATTCGGACATATACGCCGCATAACAAGAAAGACTTCGAAAACCCATCCACAATAATGTAACTTTCTACAAAATGAGAGCATTATCTATAAATTAGGTATTATAAATAGGCCTATGAATGACAGACCAAAGTCAGTCAGTTTTCAATTAGTACAATTAGTGCAAAAAAAAGCGTTAAAAAGGCCCTCCCCCGGATTATTTTATGTAAGTTTTTCATAATTAGGCCATTTTACGTCATTTCCAGCAAAAAAATTGCATTTTCGAAAAAGCCGCGATTCGGAAGTTTTACCCATGTTTTATTCATTAATGCACAATATTAATGCATAAATAAATAATTTTCTGTGTTTTGTCATGTCATGTCACAGTCGTATCAACTTCATTAGGGTATTTCTCTGTCTGTGTTCGGCTATATTCGTGGCTCAGCACTTGAGATTTATGAATTAATTTAAAGGAAGAAAAAAGAGTGATGAGTTCACATGATTATAATGCGCTGGTTTATATTATCTTCTGGTGTTGGAAAAATGTTATAAAGAATTCCGTTTACATACCACTATAAACTGGAAAATATGTAAAAGGAATTATTTATAATACCAGATTATTATCAAGCACAACGTATTAGAGAAGAAGAAAATCACAATGGATTTCGTAACAATAAAGTTTAAATTAATAAAGGACTTTAATTTTATCGGCTTTTGTTTCTAATAATGTTGTACCCAATAAATAATAAATTAAGAGCTCAATTCACAACGATTTTACTGCTTGGTCACATACGTATTCAATACAATAACTCATTTAGAAGCATAGTTTAGAAGCCTACATCATGAAAACAATAACAAAGATTAGAGGTTAATAAGTGTTTCGCACTTTGACGTTTTAAAGTTTTGAAATACCGATCAAACTTCGCGCCAGTCGAAGCTTCACGGAATAGGTCGAATGATTCTAAAGATTCTACGATTTTTAGAGGGCGTTGAGTAATTTCACCAAAGTAAAAATGTCCCAAACGAGTTCAAATATGAAGTTAATCATAACTAATTTAAATCATTTATACTTTTTAGATAAATATATCTATTCATCTATCACCCACAAGCCAAATCAAATAACATTTGCGATAAAAGATTAAATATACCTGCTACTTGGACACGGTTATCTATTATTTTTAGATTATAGACTGTCAAATCTTTTAAAACTTCTTTCTGACTAATTCCTTTTTGCGTTCCCTTGGATTCCCTAAGAGGACCACGTGATATTTCCATGAATGAATTTGATCTTTTTCCCTCAGATTTCTGAACGCAACCCTGGTAGCCACTCAATTATATTAGGATATTACTAGGGACCCTACAATATTATGACATAATTATAACGTCATACGCCATCTAGCGGGTCTTTCTGGCGTTACAGCAGATTAATGAGGTACACGTTTATTTTCAATATCGTATTTGAATTAAGTTAGTTTTTTGTTACTGAGGAAAATTAAAAAATATTAGTTAGTAATAGAATCTGCTGAATCGTGTTAATATCTGTATTTATTTAATACGTTGGATGGTTAGATTACATAGAAATATTTTTGGGTTAAGTTAGATCTGTAGAAGATAGCCAGCGATCACAATTTTGCTTCAACGCTGAAGCCCTGTCTTACTCATATTTGTATAATTTGTAAGTTTATACAGTGAGTTTTTCAGATGTCGTCGAAAATAATCAAAGCTGGTGGAGGCGAGCCCGATGCTTTTGAACAGCAGGTAGCTCAAGCTCTTTTAGAACTTGAATTGAATTCTGACTTAAAGGCTCAGCTACGTGAATTGCATATAACAAAAGCTCGAGAAATTGAGTTAAACAACAAAAAGGTATTGTTTTATGGTGACGGACTGCTAAGAATGATGAAAATGCCCTAACATTATTTCTTATTTCTAGTCAGTTATCATATATGTACCGATGCCAAAACTGAAACAGTTTCAGAAAATTCAGACAAGATTAGTACGTGAGTTAGAAAAGAAATTTAGTGGAAAACATGTTGTTTTTGTTGGAGAACGTAAAATTCTTCCTAAACCAACAAGAAAGACACGCATGAAGAACAAGCAGAAGCGGCCTCGCTCTCGTACATTAACTGCTGTTTACGACGCTATTTTAGAAGATTTGGTGTTTCCTGCTGAAATTGTGGGAAAACGTATCAGAGTAAAATTAGATGGTTCACAATTAATTAAGGTCCATCTTGACAAAAACCAGCAAATGACTATTGAACATAAGGTAAATGTATGCATTCTTGAACTATAAAAATTGATGTTAATTTTACTTTTCTAGGTTGATACATTTGCAGCAGTGTATAAAAAACTAACTGGAAGGGAAGTAACATTTGAATTTCCTGAACCCTACTTGTAAAGTTCTTTTTATAGGTAAATAAAAGTATAAATCCTTATTCATAGTAGTCTTTACATAATTAAAAGTACACTGCAAAGTTTGTTGAAATCGTATACCTACTTGGGTAAAATACTAAAAAGTATTTGAATATGAACATGGATGGAGATTATTATTAAATGTGCATATAATTTTTTTCAGAAAAAGTAAATCCAAATACATTACTAAAAACCATTTTTATTTAAATGTTCATAATCTATTATTCAAGTACTTTTTTGGTATTTACCAGACAGTTAAAAGGTAGTAATAAAACGAAATGAATGCAAAAATTAATTTAATTTATTAAGCATCAAGAACTTTATAATTTAATCTATTCAATTTTAAGTTCATCAAAAGAGGATATGATATTTAGTGAAGAGTCAGTTACTTTAGATTGACTAGCAGATCTTACTACAAGGAAACTTTGGCATCCTGCTTTTTCAGCAGCTTTCACCTCTGCTATGGAGTCTGTTAAAAATAGTATGTTTTGAGGTTGTACATTTAGATTTTTTGCAATATGAGAGTAACTGCAACTATCAGTTTTTGATCCAACTAATAAATCAAAATAACTATCAATAAATTCACTCAAATTACCCTCAATTGTATTGGCAAAAAGAAGTTTTTGAGATTCAACACTACCAGTTGAATAAATTGCAATTTTAAATTTTTTAGACCAAATTTGGAAACATGGAAAAACGTCAGGAAATACATGTGCTCTTATATCTTTCTCATAACCTTTCTGATAAAGAAGACCTTGTAAAACTTTTAATCCTTCATTCATTTCATTTTTATTGGTTTTTTCTTTGACCATCTCGACTGCTTCTTCTAATTTGGTACTTTTATTAGAAAGAAGTTTAAGTGCATGCTGAACTTCTTCTTTATTCCAATTTAATTCCAAAAACGATTGTATGTTATCAGATGCAAATTTAAACAGTACATCTTTTATGAACTCAATTGAAGTTGTCGTTCCCGCAATATCACACAAGATTACTTTCGTACATTTAGGAATTGTTTTTTCTGGGCATACCATACTCTGCATTTTAAATAACAGCCAAATTTGTTTACTCTATACCATTTAATTTTACCAAAATATCAGACAAGACAAACTCCAACAAAACCAGTGGTTGTAGTTAACTTTAAAAAATGAAGCAGATATATAAGACGAGCAACTGTAGCAAACTGTAAAGAGTGGCAGTTAGGAATGACTGCTACCAGTCGCCCTAGTTCGATCTCATTTGAACCATATTTGAACTTGGAGCAGCCATTCCTCACTTGCTCCCCGCACCTCCTTCTCACAGACGATATCCTGGTATTGGTTTTCGATTGTGTTCATATATTAAACATTGACGTTATCGCTGTTTATTTTGTAGTGCATTGTATACTTCAGTAATTAATTCGGTTGTCGTGTATTGGAAAAGAATGACAGATATTAACCATAGACATAGAAGTTTGCGCATTCGCTATCTGGTATCATAGAGACATTACACACATAGAGGAGGTACTGCCAATCATAGACATATATTAATGGACGTGCGTTAGCCGTATGTCGTTGTAATAATTTCTTGGCTCGAAAAGTGAGGGAGATGGTGTATGGTTTCGGACTAGTGCTATCTCTTGCATGACACGCTTACGCACTATCGTGGAGAAATGGATATTGTCCGAAACTTCGTTCCATCTCTTTCTTATGTTGTATCACAATTCTAACCGCTAAGGCATGTCCATTAGTAAACGTCGATGCTGCCAATCCAGTACTATACATAGACATACATTAATGGACGTGCCTTAGTCGTATGTCGTTGTAATAATTGCTTGGCTCAAAAAGTGAGAAAGTTGGCATATGGTTTCGGACTAATGCTATCTCTTTCATGACACGCCTACGCACTATCGTGAGAGAGATGGATATTGTCCGAAACTTCACTCCATCTCTTTCTTTTGTTGTACTACAATTCTGACCGCTAAGGCTATCTATGGCTAAGGCATGTCCATTAGTAAACGTCGATGGGTTGGATCCTCGCATCTGTGAACGTCGCTAACAGCCGTATATCTATAGGAACTTTAGTGATCATAGAGTCCCTATCAGTCCCTGTCAGTCTCTGTCTATGTTTGTTTTATAGGCATAGTTTATAGGTTTGTTTATAATTTTGCAAAATGCTTTTTTATTCTAATTTATAATTGTTTAAAATGCCCGTTGACAATAGAAGAATCACTGTTCCAGAAAATACAACTTGTTATAATTTATTTACTAAGTCTAAAAGTTTCAAAAATAGATGCGAGCATTTTATAAATACTTCTGGGAAAAGGCCCGATGGACGAAAAGCAGAGGAGCATCGTAAAATTTGTATGTAGTTACTAATATTGAAATCATTTTTTAAGTAAAAATTAATTTTAGTTTTACAAATGAATGTTGTTACTCAAGCTAAAGGATCTGCATATATAGAAGTTGGGAAAACTAAAGTAATAGTATCAGTTTTTGATCCTCGTGGAATACCTAACAACAGCGACTATAAACAGAATGGAGAGTTGTACTGTGAATTTAAATATGCTCCGTTTAGTTGTACCAAGCGTCGCTTACATCAGCAAGATTCAGAAGAAAAACAAAAAAGTTTAATTATGAAGAGATCATTGGAATCTGCTGTTTGTAGACATGAATTTCCTAATTTTCAAGTAGATATATACGCCTTAGTTTTGGAAAATGATGGTTCAACATTAAGTGCTGCTATTACAGCAGCAGGCATTGCTTTAGCTCAAGCAGGAATTCCCATGTATGATATTATAACTGCAGCAGAATTTGGATACCAAGATGGTACTTACGTTCTGGATCCAACTTCGCAGGAAGAACGAATTTGTAGTGTTACAATGCAGGAAAATAATGATAGTGCAAATGAATTTAAACCTCAAGGTATAATTATTTTGTCAATGTTATTAACTCATCAACAGGTATCAGGTTTTCATGCAAATGGAAATTTAAGATTAAGTGATGTAAATAATAGTTTTGATGTTATTAGTCGAGCAACAGCAGATATTGCTAATCTTGTCAAAAAAAATCTGGTAAAACAAGTTATAAAAAATGTTCAAGAAAATGCAATTAAAAAGTAACACCTATTAAGTTTTGTGGTTTATAGTTTTTGCTATACTTACCTTTCTTTTCAAACCTTAAAAACTATGTAAAGGAAGGAATGGTTTTCATGCTTGTTACCCAAACTTTTTATAAAACTCCACACTACTAGTGTTTAATAAAAAATAATAAATATAAAGAAATAAATTAAATAATAANTTATCTTTAAAAAGATGAATAAGAATTGAACAGAAGCCAGTTACAATAAGAGTATGTATTCATCTATATCTACACTTTTAGTATATAATAAAAGTACTTCTTACTGCATGTTGTTTTCAAAAAGGTTGTAAGCTTTGTGTCACATATGTATATATATGCATATAAATTTGAAAATACCAATTGATTAATTTGACAAGTGTTCAGAAAAATATAACATTTTGAAGAAAACATTTGAGAACTGTTATGATTAATATGCATATATTGCATCACAATTAACACTTAATATAACAAAAAAATGTGATTTTTTTTATGCAAACTCATCAGCTTCATACAACTTTTAAATTCTAAATAAAACTATTAGGTAGTAATTATAAAGTATTGTACAATAACTAAATAAAAATATTAACGATGAGTTACTCTACTAAGAGCTATAAAACTCTCCTTCGTTGTTAAATCGTGAAATCCTATGGGTCCTGCATCACAGTCAGCACATGTTAAATACTTTTTATTGTCTACAGTATTTGAAAAACCCACATTTTCAAATGTCATCATATGCTTAACTAACCAGAATAGAGACACCTTTTCAGTTTCAATATTATAAGCTCCTCCAATTTGCTTCATAAGTGGCAAATCAAACTAAAACAATTTCAATGTGTCACGTATGCGAATTCAATAATACTTAAAAACAATAAGAATGTTAATTACAAAATATACAAGACTAAAAACAACTGAGCTAACCTCCAACGTAGTAAATTTTCCTAACTTTTGTTTAAGAATTGTACAATTACAAAAAGAACATTTTACATTCCGTATATTATATCCATCGGCAACTTCATTCTCATAACTTGTGCCACAGTCAGGCATTCTTGTTTATAAATAACGCAAATTATTTAAAAGATGTTTTATAATTTCTCGAAATTTGTTTCTTATCTGTGGTATTGGATGGATATCATTGTCTATGGGTATCATGGTTATACATAAAATCACACAAGCGGTCACGAACTTCTCTGGTCACGACATGTCGATGGTCACAACCCTAGTCACAACCATAGATAATAGGTCACAACTCTTCTCTGGTCACAACTGACAGCATTGTTAAAAAGGCAGCGTAGGTAGCGGGTTATGCTTATGCAGCGTTCGTAGCGATTGGTTACATCGAACTTTAGCGTGAACAACGTTACCGGTCGCGGGGAAATCCCTGTGTTTATTATTTCGTACAAAATATTCAAATTTATAAATTTTTGTATGAGATTCTAGTCCAACTGCAAAAAAACCTCTGGCAACCCTTTACGCACGTATTTTGAATATGCAAAAAAGTATGTAGACGTTATGGTGCCTTAAGATTTCGAATCTGACTTCATAAAAGCCGGTACTGAATCATTTATGGTTAAAATAGAGAAAACGGTGTAGACACAGAAATGCGCTCGTAAAATTACAATTACGGGAAACACCCTATTGAGTTATCAAAGGGATAATTACAATTGGTACAATTGTACCAACAAAAAACATGAATCGAATGATATCGCCGGCTAGTTCCAATGTTTATTTAGCTGACTACCAGTGTTGGCAGACGTACCATAATTATTGTACATCACTACATAGTATAAAACAAAGTCGCTTTCCCGCTGTCTGTCCCTATGTATGCTTAAATCTTTAAAACTATGCAACGGATTTTGATGCGGTTTTTTTTTAAATGATAGAGTGATTCAAGAGGAAGGTTCATATGTATAATACATGCATAATTTAGTAGGAAAACACTGATAATTTTGAGGTTTCTAATGTGATGTTGTAAATAAACACATTTCTTGCGCTTACATTGTAAACGCTGGCTGAACCCTACGAGATAGATCAAAATAATGTGCAACAATATTGTACATCTTAAAAGGGTCTACAAAAAAGTCCGCGATGGTATATGTCTATCTCTTAGGGATAACCCACAATAATCATTTTTATCCTTTATTTTTTATGAGAAATAATGACTTATTTACGAAGCGATTGTAGGCAATACAGCATTAATTCTTATCCAATTAAGTACCTTAAATACACTGTGCATTTAATATAGATCAATATGGCCCTTTACAGCATGTAATTTAAATGAATATTTTTTGAAGATATTACAGATTTAAAATGCAGGGACATAGCAGTTGCGGCGGTACCGGCCGGGAGGCCGGTTTGTATTGTCTAATGACAAAAAAACTGTGAATGTTGTATATAAAGACATTTTGTAGTATATTTAGTATGTTCAGGTGGTATCTTTTGAAGATTTCCCCTTCTCGATAATAATCTAAACAAAACAAAAATATATTTAGTATCAGCATTGCACCCGTGCGAAGCTGGGGCGGGTCACTAGTATACTATAATTTAATGTTTTGTACAACCTACAATCCAAGGTGTACAATATGCAGCGTTTGTAACAATTGGTTACGTCGAGCTTTAGCGGGAACACGTTGCCCGCTGCGGGAAAATCCCTGTTTTACAATTTTGTATGACATTCCGGTATAATTAAAAAAAAAAACCTCCATGGTTTTTAGGACAGAATGCAACTGGTCAGTAAAATTGTTGCGAATTGAGCTAGTTTTTAATTAAATACTTTTGCTTCATCGAGTATATTTAAATAGAAATACAAATACTTTTGCTGCATAGAGTATTTGAAATACAAATACAAATATGTACTCTTGAAGTATTTGAAATACTTTTGGGTTGTACTTATAGAAATATTCTCAAGCAATTGCTTGATCTATTAGCAAGTACACAAGTTCAATTGATTAAAAAGTTATTTTTAATCAAGTATATATTTGCAACAAATATTAGATTTTAAGTATTTAAATACAAATATACAAATACAAGCATGAGTAAAGTCTTTGAAATAATAGTAAAATTTTTTTCTGCATGGAAATTTTGATATTTTTTTTAAATACACTTTAAATAAATAACATATTTGATATAAATTATTTTTATGTAAACCTATTATTATCAGTTAATCTCCCTCTCTTTTTGGTATTTCGGCGTATTTTGACATCTCGTATCAATCTGATTATTATTTTGTTCAATTATTTCATCATTCGATTCAGTCGTTTCAATCATTTGAACTGATTTCTTCAAAAGCGATTTAGCAGTATATTTTTCTTCTTCAGCATCAAGTTAATCTAATGTTAATCAGTTAAATTTAATTACCACTTTGTTAACCATATATTATGTCCAAAATGCACCAATTTCTGTAAAATTCGCACTAAATCATTAAATAGGCTGTTGCACTGCTCTGCGTCATTTTGAATATCTTCGAAACAAATTTTCGTAGATTTTAAGATGCATATGTTGGTTCAGTTTTAGTTTTGGATTAAAATTATTCAGATGTAGATTCGCGCGTGATTGTTATATTCATAAGGATCAAAATCAGAGAGGTGAAGAATTGGCTTCTGATCAAGATTTTCTTACTTTAATTAAACTATTATATAATTTTGTTTTATTTAACATTATAAGCACTTCGAGTATATATCAGAAAAAGTTAAAATTTGTCTGTATTTTGAATAAAATTTACCCAAAAAATCATTCCGGGAACGCGTCCGTAATCTATGCCGTGTTGTTCAAACAAGAAAAACTTATACATCAAATAAGTTAATAAAGGTACAGACCAAGATTTTTATTTAAAAAGTCTTATATTTGCGTTATCTACGACTAATAATTTTTAATTTTTAATTCCAAATTAGCATTAACTTGCATGGAAATGTTGTCCGACAATTAACGAATCATTTCGTGAACGCAAGCATAATAGGTCAGTGTTTCTTCGGAAATAAATGCTCTATGTAGTGTTAGTGTGCAGTCGCATAAGCATTTTTTAACAAGGTGGCCGGTGTGTTTGTGTTATTCGCATTAAATTATTAATTATTCAAATAAAAACTTATCAAGTCAGTTTTTAGACCGCGTACTTTAATTCTTTGTCATTATGGGAACGTCATTTTGTATTTTTTGAGACAAAAAAGACAAAAATTATAACTTTTTTCTGTTAGACAACGTAATTCACAAGTAAATAAACTCAAAAACTGGCGTTCAACATGGCGCATTTGCTTTGTAAAACTTTTTAAGTACCATATCGTCATTTCGGGAATTGTCATTTCGGGAACAATTTCGAAAAATGACGGGCGTTCCCGGAATGATAATTGCATTCCCAAAATAGTTGTTCAGTTCTCTACTCAACTACTGAAACCTTTATTTTTGTGCCTATATTGTGTAAAAGAATATTAAGTGCTATTTTTTATTCTATAATAAAAGCAAAAAAAAAAATAACAGGTAAACCGAAATAGTGCTAAATATTTAAAACAACGCGAAAAGGCTAATGCAAGGAAACGAAAGTTCTTGGATAAAACGACTCCATAGCAAAAAGAACTAAAGAAAGAAATTCGCGGTAAAATTTTAACAGGTTAATTGCCAGTAAATATTACTATTTGTCCAAGACTGCTTAAAGGTATTTAATGAGGCTGGAAGAAGTTAAAAAAATTGTGATTTTTTTTATAACTCATTAGTCTATGCCTAAATAAATAAATGTACTATTTATAAAGTTTCGTTTTGAAATTAGCACATATCATGATTTTGAATAGAATACTTTATGATATTTATAGCATAATATAAAAGAAATCATAAAATAAGTATTATCTTGTTGTCAATTTACTTTATTTGCTTATTATAACATACCCTTCTTTTAAAAGTTTATTTAATCTGATTTTATTATTTTTTAGAAAACGTTCTCGAAATGATGAATATTAATACCAATATAATTATTAAACATCAAAACTTTAAAGTAAATGAACATTTAGCTTGGCCCTTTTGGTATATCATTAATGAACTGTGCCTCTGTAATTGTAAATTATAATTACTTAGTAAGTAGCATTTCTTTTTTTAAAAAATTTCGTATCGTAAAATGCTCACCTCTCTGATTTTGACCCATAAATGTATATATTCCACCTTTTTATAGTTATTTCGTTTATTTTTACAGTTAGTAATTATTTGAAAGATTTGTGTAAGTATAGATATATTTTATTATAAACATCTATTTAGATTTACGGATAATAATTATATTGTAAAATGTTTTTTTTCCAATAATACTTTCAGTTGTTTAATTAAAGCAATATTGGTGTTAAAAGTAGTTTATTTATTTCAAAAACCACAGGCATTTTTCGCTCAGGATGTTTGGCTTTCTCAAGGACAGTTTTATTTAGTTAAAAATGTAATGGTGATGGATTTGGTTAAGTGGTAACATTAAAAATCATACACGAAATGTATGATTGCCACCACGTGGTTTTTAATTATTTATTTATTTATTATTTTAATCGTACGTCGTGCTATAACAATTTTTTAGTCAGTTAGCTATTTAGAGTTTTATTTATACAAAGTTTAACCTAATTCATCTGCATTACATTTTTAACTAAATAAAACTAGTCTTGAGAAAATCCAACAAGCTGGGCAAAACGTCGGGTGTGGTTTTTCAAATAAATAAATTATTTTTAAGCACAGTATTGGTATAATTAAACAACTGAACATAAAATAGGGGAAGAATGATAAAATACAAGTTTCAGATCCGTAAAAATAAAAGGCATGAAAGCTACAAGATATGGAACTATTTTACTGATAATGCATTTTAGTTGTAATTCTGCTTTACCGTTCTTTGGGTAGTTTACCTCGTAGTACTTCGACAAAATTGCGTCAAAAATAATATTTTTTGCAATATTATTAAAATGCCTATAACGGGAACTTAATTAATTTCACTTTATGTCTTAACTACTTATATAGTAACTAGTTTCTGGTAGCCCTAACGACACTGACTACTGAGCTATCGACTTCTACTCTTTGCATACAATGACGTCAGTCCGCTTACATGGCCGGTCGTTTAAACAGTAAAACTTAGGATGAGAATTTTAATATTTTTTTTGTTTGTAATAACAGGTTTTGTCAGTGTATCTATTAAAAATAAAAAAATATTCGTGCAAGAGGTCTATTGTTTATTAAAATGAC